TGGCGTCTGTAACTTTGGCTCGGGTGTCACGTGGGTCTCGATCGCGGGTCCGATGCAGGGCAGCAAGGCAGCCAACCTCCTTGAAGAAAAGTGCGCATCGGGCGGCTGGGGCGCGGCGCTCCAAGGCATCCTCGGTCTCATTGGCTACTGCCCCGCGACGCCCGCGTACCTCAACATGAAGACGCAAGACTCGGTCAACAGTGCCCTCTACAACAGCTTCCTCGCGGCCCAAAGCGCGCGCAACAAGGGGGTGCACAAAGTCATGTGCGCCGTCAAGTCGTCGGGTCTCGTCTCGACGGACGCCGTCGCGCTCTCGCTCGTGGGCCAAATGGCCTGGAACAACGACGGTACGCTTCACGACGGTGTCGTCTCCTTCCCAAGCTGCAGCGTCGGGTTTGGCAACTTTGCAACTGATGCCGAGGCCGGTGCCAACTACAAGGCGAGCGTCAACCACCTCGACTCGAGCTTCCGCAACGGCGACGGTTGGTGGGGCGCCGACCGCAAGCCCGTCAAGTGGTTCGAGTGCGCTTTGTAATTGTTCGCGTAGCGTCTATTGCATAACTTTTTACAGTGAATGCAACTGCGTATTGTCTTTTCGATTTGAATGTTTAATTGTATAGCTCATCCTTTAGACAAGGTTTTGAGCCTTTGTCCGAGCCAACGACACAAACTAAAGGAGTTATAATGAGCTTTATAAGTTATGATGCCCACGAGAACATAGGGCATATGTATGCCCTTCCTAGAACGAAGACATACCCGCTATAGCGAATGCTGTGGGTATGGAGCGTTCTCTATCCGAATAGACCAACAACTCACCTACGTCACCCGCACTCGTAGAGCCCGAAGCCGTGTAGAAAATATAGAAAATTGTCAAAAAGTAGTAGTATAAAGTATTCCAAGTCTCGATCCAACAACAACTACCTGTACTTTACTGCTGTACCTGGCGCCGACATGTCGCTTCCGATTGTACTTGGCGCCAGACGTTTCAACAGATTTGATCGCACGAACTTGGCGGACATGTTTTACAGTTAAAAGGGATAGTTTCTCGCGGCACGCGTGAAGCTGGGTTTTTGTACCGAGGCCTAGCAAGGGCGCCATCTTGAACCGCCAGGCCGAACCGCCAAGATGGCGGCAGCTCCACCAGCTCTCTTATTATAGCAAGGCGCAACCGCTGAGACCGAAGATCAAGCATCCAAGTTCATTTGCAATTTGCTCGTCCAGCTCCAACCCTCTTAGCTACTCAACGCTCTTTTAACCCACCCACCAGTCCCTTCTTGGGCGGCGGCCTCCCAACACGAACCCCGTTCGTCTCCCCCATGCACTTGCGTCTATAGCCGAAGGGACGAAAACGCTCGGTTGCACTCGCCTACAAAGCGCACTCGAACAACTTGACGGGCTTGCGCCCCACCAGCCGTTGCCGTTGCGAAACGACACATCAAAGTGGTTGATACTCGCCTTGTAGTTGGTACCGGCCATCGCGTCCGTCGCAAACTTAGTAAAGCTGACGCTGCAACTGTCAAAGTCGACTAAGCCGTCGTGAAGCGTGCCATCCTAAAACGCTTGCGAGCCAACGTAAACGGGCGCTGGTGCATCGGCCGATCCAAGGCCCGATGCATTGATGCCGCAGAGGACCTTGCTGGCACGGTGGTGGACGCTTTGTGCGGCTTGAAAGGCGTTGTAGAGGTCTATGCTCACGCTGGTTTGGTCCTTCAGTTGCAAATACGCCTCCGTGGCGGGACAGTACCCCACGACGGCGAGCGACGGACTCCAGTCGCCAGAGGCACACTTTTGCTCGAGCACATTGGAGGCGTTACTGCCTTGCATCGGACCCACCAGCGAAACCCACGTGACGCCGCTCCCAAACGTACACGTCCTGTTGGCAACGGCGCCGCCAGCGACAAGATTGCCCATCGAGTAGGTGACAAGGATGAGGTTGTCGATCGATGACGTCGACGACCCGCTGACGTGGCGCGCTGTGGTACAGAATTCGACTTAAACGTCACGGCGCGTCCACCCCCGCTCACGGGACTCGTAGTGGGCCAACGCGACACTCAAACAGCATGGCGCGTGGTCCTGGATACTGCCCCACGTCTTGGGAAAGGTCCGCGTTGACAGCGACGACTCGTTGTTGCCAACGCCGTGCACAAAAAGACAAGGCTTGCAACGGCCCTTGCAGCGACACGTCGTGGGGCCAAGTGACGCCGCACGCGTCGACAGTGTCGTCGACGGAGAGCGTAGGAGATTGGGAAAGGCATCGTTTGTGATCACCGGACATGACAGCGCCGACTGCCCCGGAACGCGAGGAATCGTAAAATCTGGCAGCATCGTCGGGTCCGCAAGGTGCTCGATCGTCATGTCGCCGTCGGCGCCAACAGCTTTCGTGAGCTGGTTGGTGTTGGAGTTGCAAAAGACAAACTTCTCGCCAGCGAACTGGAGCTGGAGCAGCTTGCCCGACGGACACTCGATCTTCTGGTCGTCGACACTGGAGACGACGACAGCGTCTGTGAGACTGGCTTGCATCTACCAAAGCTATTAGATTCCAAGATCATCGCAGTGTAGAAATGACATACGAACCAGTTGCACGGGAGGCAGTTGATCCGCGTCCAAGCACCCGGCGCTCGTGATCACCGCGTCCTTCTCGATCGACCAGTACGCGCGGTCGTCCAGCAGCATGTAGTTGGCCGTCACGTCCGGACCGGGCTGCGACAAGAACGCATCAAACTTGAGGTTCGCGCCCGACCCCGTGCGCGGCACGACGTAGACCGTCGTCGACAATTGGCCGTTGAACGCCATGCTCGCGCGCTTGGC